TTTTTGTATTTGGGAACTTGTGTAAACTCATGGGAGTCATTGACTCACTGTCCAACTTATATAGTTATGTCATCGAGATATTAAAACATCTACACATACAAAATATTAAATGTCGATATCTATTGTTTCTTGATCACCTCTCTGCAGTCAATGCCCAAACTAAATATATTCTATTGGCTGCAGATATGTTCAGGCTTACCAGGAGAAGGAGAAGTTGGAACACCGATACTGAAGTCATGCGTCATTTGCTCCATTTGCAATCTGAGATTTTATGTTTCTTCTTATTCATCAGGGTTTATGGTCCACCTACAGCAGAACTGTAGTTTACCTCCCTACCTTGTTTAATGCTTTGAAAATGTTGAACAATGTCTTGTGCTTGTTTGCTACTAGAATAAGCAGTCATACTGTATGTTAACAAATTTTAGACCATAAAAATATATAGTTCAATCTTTGGTATGCACCTTTGTGCCTCGATTTGTGTTCTTGTCATGCTATTTATACTGAACCATGCAATTGTTCAAGCAGTTCAGTGCTTCATTTTTTTCTTTGGTTGATTAAGTGGTTAGAAATGATGTAAGATGTGTGATGGTGTATAGTTCGTATAGTTCGATGCTCAGTTGGTGTGAGATATTAGGCTAATTTTTGTGCTTTATGAGGAAGCTGAAGGTGCATTAGATTGCATTGATATATTTAATACATTAGGCTGATTTGCAAGCTTAACTGTAGTTGAAGAAAGTTTTTAACTGTACCTAGTGAGAAAGAAGGGGCACATGTTCACTATTGCGAGAATGGAGTGTTGTTCACTTGATTTTTACTATTCATACTGTGGTTTGTAATCTAAAGATGGGTCTAATGGAAATCTTGGTTGGTAGTTTGAATGTGAAAATCCAACTCCAGCAGGTGATTCAAGAAAATTCACATTTGCCACTGTAATTGTACAGATCATGGCTTCAGTAGATGACGTAAAAAAGTCTTTCCAGAATCCGATTTTGTTCACCAGGGGGTCCCACTGGTGATTTTCACCACCCCGAGATTGGTCCAGGTGGTATGTATTGATAATTAATTTAATTTTTTGGTTTTTAGGTATTAATAAATTGAATTCGAAAGAATATAGAGAAAAAAAAAAACTAATATAAATCTATCTTCTCCACTTGACAGGGCGACAAGCAATAAAACTCTATTAGAATTTACAACTCCAAACAAGAAAATGCAGTAACAACAACTCTTGGCTCGTGGAGAAGATAGATTGAAAGTTAAAACAAGTCCACCATGGATTGATTTCACGATATTCTTTTTTGGGTACTTCCATCTTCCAAGTTGGATGAAATTTGACATTGTCAAACTCCACAAATTTTCAATGGTATTTTATAAATTCACCAATTCATTGAACTTGTTATCAACTTTTTGTAGAAAAATCTTGCAATCGATATCTATCTATACTCTATATTAAAGTAGAACCTACCCATAAGAAAATATTATCTCTCCTAATTGATAGTCTAATTTTTATTTTTTTTTGTGAAATTTTGATAGCCTAATTGAAGAGAATTTTGATTAATTTTAAACTAAAGAGGGTTAAATTTGTAATTTTATATATTCATAAGTGGACCACAACTTAAAACTATATTTGTAATTTCACATTTAACAAATGGGCCGCAGTCTACAAGCCCATGCATTACATGGGCTAACATAAAATGAGTGAGCCACAATCTTAACCCATGCATGGCATGGGCCAAATGGCTAGTACTTATTTGATTATTAACTTCAAAAGTTTCACCTTTAACATTCTCAAATTGTAATTTAAAACAATCTAATCTAATTCTTTCAAGAGAAAGAGTTGAAAAATGTCTTTTCGATTCGATTTCATTTCTTAGATTGGTTGAAGTCTTGTTGTCGATTAAAAATCCCTTCTAACTTTGTCTGTTCTATTTTCTATGGGATTCATTATAAATTTTCACAAGTTTTGAATAAATCTTTCATAAAGTTTTCTTAATGAAGTACCATTGGAAATTTGTGGAGTTTGGCAATGGTGAACAAAATTGAAACAAGTCTATCACTATGGACTCTAAAAGGCCTTAATTCTTCTATGGCTCTAACTAGGAGATATTTTTTAGTCAGATTTTTCAATAATACAATAACAAAAGCAAATCTAATGATGATGATCATTATGATGAACATGACAACTATGATCAAAGATGTTTACAACTACAATACCAACCACAATGTAAATAGCAATGAAAATCAATATGGCATGTGCCCCAAAAAAATAAGAATCAAGACTAAGAAAATACTGCATCCGCTGCCTGAACGATGGGCTGAGAATACTGCTCCTGCAGACTAGGAGACAGCTGACTGGGCGACGGTTGGTTGGAAGGTGGTGGCTGGTTGGACGATGGTGGCTGGTTGGACGAGGGCGGCTGACTAGGTGGACCGACGACTGTTTTGTCTACTAACAACAGTAGTTCTTGGGTATTTGTCCATAGGTCTAACAGACCCATGACAAGCGTCATACCCAAGAACACTAAACAACAAAAAACAAACCCATAGATTGTGAATCTAATAACACAAATCGAATTTTGTTCACTCAACAAACATGTAGCTACTAATCCAACTATCCCAAACCAGATTTTACCACTTTGATCCAAGTTAAGAGCCTTCCGGACGTAAAACCTTCGGAGCAATTCTGCTCTCGAAGGTAGTGTCGGCGGTGGAGTCACTTCTACAGTTCTACACGAACAGGAGAAAGTAGTGCATGCTCCATAAAATGTCTTGAGGTTTGAAGAGATCGCTTTTCTTTTGATTCAAAGACTTTATTCTTTTTGAAAGAATCAGACCCCATGATCATCATCCACGTCTAAATGACTAGATCTACCCCATATCCTTTCAAGTCATAGACTCTCAAATCAGATCTATGTTTGAGAATTCTTATTGCTCAAGTAGATCAGTTTCTACTTTCTAGTATATATCTTGAAATCTACAAGTAAGGAAAAAAAGACTTTAAAAAGACAACATATATAAATATAGGTTTATAATTATATTCTTTATTATTTCTACACTAGTCATACCCGTGGCATTTCCATGATAATGTTTTATCACATATAATTCATAAAAATAATCAACATACAATTTCGAGAAATAATTAAAGATTAAGCAAATATAATTGTAGAAAAAAAAAAGTGGATTCAAATAACTATATAAGAATTTTGAATAATCAAATATAACTATAGGTTTAAAATTTATTAAAAAC